TCCCAGCTGCTACTAGGGAGGCTAAGGCATGACAATTGCTTAAATCCAGGAGGTGGAGGTTGCAATGAGCCGAGATTGAGCCAGTGCACTCCAGCCTACTGTGTAGGCCCAGCACGATGGCTCATGCCTGTAATCCCAGCACTTTGGGAGGCTGAAAGAGAGGACTGCTCAAGCCCAGGAGTTTGAGGCCAGCCTGGGCCACATAGCAAGACTCTGCCTCTACAAAAAATAAAAATTAGCCAGGTGTGGTCATGCATACCTGGGGTCCCAACTGCTCAAAAGGCTGAGGCGGGAGGATCGCTTGATCCTCCCGAGGATCGAGACTGCAGTGAGCCATGATCACGCTACTGCACTCCAGCCTGGCAACAGAGCAAGACCCTGTCTCAAAAAAAAAAAAAAAAAACAAACCAAACAAAACTAACCATCAGCTCGCGACGTTCACTCTAGGAAGGCTCTCTATGATCAGGTCACGCCCTGGCTTACTAGCTTCACTTCACACCCAAGGAGAAACCTTTATTCCCACTGGGCAGATCCCTCTTCACCTGCCACCAGCACCCCTACCACCCCTCACACCCTGGCTCCGCTGCTTCTTGTCCTGTTTGCAACTGACGCAAAGACAGAGACAGACCCGGGCTCTGCTCTCAGCTCTGCTACTGACTGAGTGAACTTACGCAAGTCCATTTATCTCTGAACCTCTCTTCTAACTTGTAAAACGGGGGTGAAATGGGAGGATATGAGGCTTTGTGATCTCCAGAATGCTGCCTGTGGATACAGAGTCTACCTGTGCTATGTAAGTCCCGCTCAGCCTTCGAGGTTCCTTGGAGCTACCTCTGACTGCCCCAGGCATTAATCTCTCTCCCCACAGCCCTGCCAGAAACACAGCACCAAGGATGGGCGGGAGGGAGGGAAGGAGGGAGGGAGGGAGGGAGGGATGGAGGGATGTAACCGGCGGGGTTCAGCTACTACCTTCCCCCTCACTGATGACCTCCTTGTCCTCCTGGGGGCTGGAGGGGCACAAGGCTGAGATCCATCGCTGCTTCTCACTTCTAGGGAAGGGGGAGGCCGAGCTGTCACAACATGCAAGGTGCAGTTGCCCAGGGCAGGGTGCGGAAACCAGGGCTGGGGGAGCTGGGCATGATGTCCAGGCCCAGGACCCAGGTCATGTCTGCCCTACCCCGGGGCACACCCCACAGCCCTGTTCACAAGCCTGTGCTCCACCCAGCTCTGAGCATAACAACAGGCTCAGAACCCCCTGATGCCAGCCCTGCCTCTGTCCTGCCTAATGCCATGATCCTTAAGCCAGAGATAGCAGGATACAGAGGTTTACATACAAGAGATGCCCAGAGTGAGGGGGAGGTGGCAGCTCCCCAGCACCACCTGTGGGGCAGGCTCTCCTGCTCTGGCCTCCAGCCCTGCCCTCTGCCCCTACGTCCTGCCCAAGTCAGGGAGGAGCTGGGCACTTGGGGAGAATCAAGGCCAGGATGTCACAGGGGTGCCCGTCCTGGGGAGGGGCCTCCTCTCTCCCCACACCCAGGCCCACTCACTCCGTCCGGGCCCTCAGCAGGAACTGGTGCTTCGTGTGCTGCCCGTGGAGGAGCTGGAGGAGGAACACGTGGCCAGGGATGCCCTGCAGCTTCAGGCTCAGGTCCCGCACCTGCAGCTCAGCCATCTTGGCATGGACGAAAACGGCAAACTTCCCTAGCCTGGAGGACCGGGGTGGGGAGGTCAGCCTGGCCTGGACCCCGGCTCGGGGTATCCACCGTCGGGACCAGGTGGGTTCTGACTGGAAGCAGGGAGAAGCGGGTGCCTGCCCGCCAGCTTCTCACAGCGTCCTGCTTCTGGATAGGGGCACTGCTCTCCCAGCAGCTGGCAAAGTCCCCACAAGGAACCAAGAGTTTCTTCCCTGCTGGCTTGCTGCTGGAGGCTGGAGGTAGTGGAAACCAGTCCCTGGGTCCCAAGCACACTTTCCACCTTTCTCTCTTTTTTTGTTGTTTGTTTGTTTTGTTTTTTGTTAAGACAGAGTCTCGCTCTGTTGCTCAGGCTGGAGCACAGTGGCATGATCTCGGCTCACGGCAACCTCTGCCTCCTGGGTTCAAGCGATTCACAACCACTCTTAAAACCTCTCTCCCAAGCATCTGTTCCAAAGAGCCAACCGGACAGCCCCCTGCAGAGTATCTGCCTCCCTCCCAGTATATAAGCCCCATGAATGCTGAACCTTGTCTCTCTGCCACTGTGGCTCAGCGTCTGACACTGCCTGGCCCACAATTTGGGCTCAGTAAGTACTTGCAGGCAGGATGGGTGAATGGATGGGTGGAGGGTGTTCTATGGATGTCAACCTGTTCGACAAAACTCAGCATCAAATAAAAAACTCAGCTTCTCCCACTCCAAACCAGACCCCCTTCGCTGTTCTCCATTCCAGTGAAAGACGCCACCAGTTTGCCCGCGAGGAAACTCAGACGTCATGCTCGCCCCTTCCCTTTCCGTCCCCGCTACACCCACCTCGTAGCTATGACCTGTCTTTCCCCCTTATTGTCTCTGGAATCCACTTATCCTGAAGCACCCTGCCACTTCTGGAGCATCTACGCTCTCCTGGGCAACTGCAAGACCCTCTGGCCTCTCCCCTTCCAGTTCATCCTCCAAATTGGCCAGGAGCAAAAACGTCATCCTTCTGCTTAACTCTCCGTGGTCCCTGCTGCCTCAGAAAAAATCCAGCCTCTCTACCATGACCTTCAACATCCCAACTTCCCTCTGCTGCTCTGTCTCCTTTACAAATGCAGCCACATTAGGCTTCATTCCCAAACACACTCCACTCTTCTACACTGCCATGGCTCTGCTGTACTCCTCCACTCAAGCTACCTGTCTACCTGGAAAACTCCTACTCATCCTTCAAAACCCAGCTCAAAGGTCCCTTCCTCTATGAAGCTTTACTGATTCTCACCCCACACCAGGAACTACCACAGTACACCCTTCCACGAAAACCCTGATGATGTGGTTATCAGGATGTATTTTTACTGGCCTGAAAGCTCCTGTGAGCAGAAAACAAGTCTCATTCATATTTTGTCCCTAGCACTGGCCTGCTACAGAACAGAGACTCAGTGACAATTTGCTAAATGAACAAACAAATCAAGAATGATCTCTTCTTATAGCAAAACATGTCCATCTTTTTTTTTTTTTTTTTTAAGAGATGAGGTCTCACTATGTTGCCCAGGCTAGTCTTGAACTCCTGGACTCAAGGTATCTTCCTATCTTGGCCTCCCAAAGTGCTGGGATTACAGGTGTGAGCCACTGTGCCCGGCCCACATGTTCACCCTTTATCCCATTCATCTTATCCACGAGTCTTCTACCTCGCCCCTCACTTATAATAATCCAGCTAATACTGAGCGAATGTTTACTGTGAGCCAGACACAGTGCTGCCATCAGACAGAGCTGGCCTCCCCCGGCTCCTCTACCTACTAGCTCCATGATCTGACAGTAACAGAGAAGCCTATTTCCCAGGGAGGTATTTGGAGGATTAGAGGGAATAATCCACATAGCATGCCTGGCACAGTGTAGGTACTGAGGAAATGTTGGCTGCTAGCACAGCTACGACTCAGGGCAGAGCTGCGGCCGCAGGGCCATGCTCGTAGTCTCTGCTCTAACTGGCTGAAGCCCACAGCAGCTCCAAGTCCTCAGCACACAGTCTAGCCCCTGATTCTCCCTTCTGGAACATGGACCAGTCTCACATCTCTGCCTTTACTTCAGGAGCCTCCACCAAAGCCCAGGGTGCCCTGGCAGCACACCCTGGCACAGGCAGGGGCTCCCAGACCCAGTGGTAGGGAGAAAGAGAGCCTGGCTCCAGTTTACCTACCCACCCCCGACTGCCCCGACTCACTCCTTCCGCCGGGAGAGCAGCAAGCAGTCATTAAAGAGGTGTAAGTAGACGGCCTTGCTGGACAGCTTCAACTTGGCAGGGGGTGCCACAGGCAGTGGTGCCAGCTCAACCAGCTCCCCGTGCCGAACCAGCCAGCGGGCCTGAGAGATCAGCGGGAAAATCTAGAGGGATGGAGTAGAACGGGTCAGGCCCAGGGGCACCAGAGCACAAGAGGGCAGATGGGAGGGTGTGGGCAGCGATGAACTGGCTTGAAGACCCCAGGGCAAGCTGGAAACAAGAGCTGCCCCTTGGGGTGCCCATCCCACTGGCTGCAGACAGACACCTTGCCCTCAAAGTGGATCTTCTTGCTCAGGTGAATGAGTTCCTCTGTCCTCTTCATGGACTGCACGCTAGCATTGCACTCCTGCACCAGCTGTGGGGGGGTTGTGGGGAGGTCACCTGTAGCCCCTCAGCCCTGGCTCCCAGAGCCCAGCCTCAGACTCTCACCTGGGGAGACTGGAGACTCTGACGGCTAGGGGCTGTTTTAGAGACATGCTGGGGGTCCGGGGAGCTTCAGGAGCCAAGCAGCCCCTGCCCTGCCCAGCCCAGCTCACCTCCTTGAGAGCGTTGAAGGCCTTAGTGGCCATGTCTTCTTCTTCAGAGCCCTGTGCTGTCCGCTTCAGGATGTTCTGGAAGGTGGGATCAGCACAATGTGGCAGGCCTCATGCTCCCCGAGAGCCGGCCCACCCGCGGGTGTCTCCCCCTCGCCCAGCCTGTGCCCTTGAGGTACCTCCACCAACATCTTGAGGCGAGTGATCCTCTGGAAGGGCAGGATGAGGAAGGAGGTAAGGGGCAGACGCTGGCACACGGGGGACTCCTCCAGGCGAGCCAGGATGCCAGGGAACCTGGGGTTCTCCAGGCTGGAAAATAGGAAGGCTCTGGAATCACAGGTGGGCCTGAACTCCTGGGATTCACGACCCTGGCCATCCACGGGGTCCTCAGGTGCCTTCTCAGCACATCCTTGCTGCCCCTTGGGGTCACAACTCACCTTATCCTGGCCACAGAGACCCTTTCAGGGGCCCCTCCCCTCCCAGAGTCACCTTGCATCATCCACTCCTCAATGCCTGCACCTGCCTGAGACTCCCTCCAAGCCCCCACCCCTTTCAGAGCCCCCAGCCCTACAGCAGGCGCTGGTAGGTGCGCTCCTGGTAGGCCTGGTTGGTGACATAGGGCAAGTAGACTCGGCGGAAGGCCGGGCAGTGCTCCAACACCACGTCGCACACGCTGAAGCGCAGCACATCTGCCTCCAGCCGCTGCTCCAGGTCCTGCAGGAACCTGAGGGGTCAGAGCCAGGATGGAGACTCCAGATCTGGGAGCCGGCCAACCACAGGCTGAGTCTCCACCCGGGGCCAGCCAGACTACTTCCTCACCTCTCGCTGGTGCTCTTGACCTCAGGCAGTTTAGAAAACAGCCACTGCTTGTCCTGTGCCCCTAGACACTCGCTCAGCTCGGCAGAGCCCAGGAAGTGGCCCACAGCCACCGAGAGGCTGTGGATGTAGGAGGCCTCGGACGTGATCAGCTCAAACTTGGCCTGAGGAAGGGCGCACACGGGGTCGAAAGGGGCGGGCCAGTTCACCTCGGAGGCCCTGGCCTCGCATCCCCCGCCCCAGGACGCCACCTCTTTAGACACAGCCACACCTCGCGTCCTCGCCCCTGCTATAGTCCCACTCCTAATCTGGCGCCGGGCGGGCCAGACGACCCACCTCCTGCCGCGGGCAATTGTGCAAGCCCAGCTCAAGCCCTCGAACCCGCCCCTCCCCTTAGCCCCGCCCCGACGTGCTCTGCCCCCGAGCCCCGCCCACCTCAGGCCTCGCCCCGGCCCCGGCCCCGCCTTTTCCCCGGCCCACCAGGCGTTTGCGCTCGGAATGGCTCCGCCCCTCATCCGCCCCTGCCCTATCCTAGGCTTCGTCCCGCTGGCTCCGCCCCCTACTCGCAACCGGGGCCTAGCTCCCGGAGCTCCCGGCTCCGCCTCGCTTCCAGACGGCCTAGGGTAGTCAGGTCCTAGCGCCCGCCCTCCGCGCGAACAGTCGCGCCAGCACCTCCTTTCTGTGTCCTCCTCCCTCCAGCGCCCGGGTTCCCGCGAAGTCCCCGGACCGCGTACTCCCGGCCCGCCCCGCCCCGTCGGGCCCCCTCGTGCGCCCACCTCCTGCAGCTTGCAGTCGCGCAGGCTCAGCGTGGCCAGGACGCCGCTGCCGCGCACGTCGGGGATGTCTTGCCACAGCGAGAAGGTGGAGCCTCGCGCCGAGCGCTGCGCCCGGAAGGAGCTGCTGGGGGAGAGGTTGGCGCGCGGCGGCCCCGGCCCCTCCTCCGAGCCCTCGGCCTCGTCCCCCGGGCCCTCCTCCTCCCGCTGCTGCCGCCGCAGTTCGCGGGCACTGGCCACGTCGCTGTATTCCTGATAGAGGACGGCTGGGGGGAAGACGGGCGGGCGAGGACCGTGGGGCGCCCGCCAACCCCTGCCCGGCTCCTCCCCGGCTGCCCCAAGACCCGGCGTCACTTAACCTTTGCCGCCGTTCGGATATCCGGACACAGTGAATTCATTCATTCATTCATTACATAAACAAATTGAGCACCTACTGCGTGCTAGATACCGAGAGTTCCATTCTCCGTTTCTCACTCGATCTCTACCTCCCAACTCTCCAAACCCCGTTACCTCCTCCCTGGGACCCCCTCCCACGTACAGTTAACACGTACAATTAAGGAGGAATCGAGACTGGCGCCGCTCGTTGGTGCTCCTGGACCCCAAAGGCAGCTCTTCCTGCATGTCTAGCCTACGAAAGAGAGTGCGTCACGGCCCTTCTTCGCCTGCACCCCGTCTTGGACCCAAGACCCAAGCGGGAGATGGTACCTGGGCTCGTGCCAACCACCATGGCCCTCTCTTGAGTCACCAGGGGCTGGCCGCAACACTCCATCCCCACTCGTCTCTGCACTTCGCCCCTCCATTCCAGATGCTTTCCCTGGAAAGGGTGAGAACTGAGGGTGAGGAGTCCAGAGACTGGCCCTGGTCCCCGGCCCTGGCACCCTGACAGCCTCAGGCGGCCGGTGAGTGGGTATCCCCCACCCCTACCCGGCATCTGGCTGCTCTCAGGGCCCATGGGAGGAGGTGGTACCTTCCCGGACTGCACCAGTGCCTGAGCCGGAGATGGGTGCCCTGGCTGCTGAATTCCGCCCCAGGCGCAGAGAAGAGTGCAGCCGGGTCATCAGCTCCGAGGCTGAGAATCGCCTCCGCTCAGGACCCTCGAGACTCACTCGGGTGGACCCAGACAGTTCCAGCGGTCTGGGCTCCTCTGTGCTCAGGGCCTGCTCTTGCACTACCTGGCCAGGCTCCAGGAAGACAGGGTGGGCCTCAGGGCAGCTGGGGACCTCTTCACGCTGGTACACCCGCATCTTGCGCCCTAGGGTTGGGGGGCAAGGTGTGAGAGCACGGTCTGGGGTCTCCCCCAACCTCCTCCCTGCTGCTGCCCTGGCCCTGAGCACCTGGGGAGGTTCAGGCGCCATGTCCAAGGAAAAGGGCCTGTGTTTCTCCTAGCATCTGGTTCCCATAGGGGTCTGCGAGAGGGGTAAGGTGAGCACAGGGCCTGACTGCAGTAGGCAGAGGGGCTGGGCTGCCCAGGATGGTGACTCCCTCACTGCATAACCTTGGACAAGTCGCTTGCCTTCCCTGAGCCCCGCTAGTCTCCTTATCACTAAAATCTACCACTTGTCCTGACTTTTGGGGGAACCTTAGGACATAAAGATTAAGGAGCTGCCCAGCCCCTCCCCTATCCACCCCACTGTGGCACCCATACCCGCCTCCCCCAGGGTGACTCACAGGCAGACTTCTTCTCCGAGCCATGGCTGGCCCGGCGCTGTGGCTGTGGGTGCTGGGGACCCCAGGGTCCCTCCAGAGCTGGGGGCTGGGCACCAGGACAGTGCGGCCAGCTGCCAGCCCTGCTGGGCCGCATCCCCCCACTGGAGATCTCTGTATCTGAGCCTCCTGGGGATGATGGCCATAGCAACCCTTGGAGAGGGGCAGGGGTCCCCAGGGACCAGCGGCTGCCAGGAGCCCGAAGCTTCTCTGGGGCCACAGGGAAAAGGTCGAGACACACTGGGCTCGGGGGCTTCAGGGCGGGCAGCTCTGCAAAGGACAGACTCTCCTGCTGGCACACGGCTACAGGGCGGCGGGCAGTGCCAGGTGGCCCAGCCAGGTGGGGCTGGAGGGTAGCAGGTGGCCCACAGTCCATTCCTCCTTTGCTCTGCCACCCACCTGGGCCTGCAGAAGAGAAGATATCAGACCCAGACAGAGGATAGTGGGGCTGGCCAGTCAGCCACTCCCCCTGGAGGCCTGGACAAACCCCTGTGTACACTTGTGTGCACGTATCTGCACAAATACACTCACACGTCTAATTATATAGGAATAGCTGATACTTGCTTGGCATTGCCGGAAGGATAGGCCAAGCACTTTACACATCCTATCTCATTTAGTCCTCATAACAACCCTGTAAGTTGATGCCCTTATTATCCCCATTTTATAGGTGGGGAAAGCGAGGCACAGAGAGGTTATTTGGTAAATGGTGGAGCCAGGATTCTAACCCAGCCATTCTAGCTTTCAAATCGGTGCTTTTAACCACCTTGTACCTTCTCCAACACACTGACATGTCACCAGACATGCAAATACATACATTGTCACACAAATCCATGTCCCAATATATACATCCACACTACATTTTCTCCCAAGTATAGAATGACACGTACACGTTCATAGACCCAGACATTTCAAACTCGGGCTCACACATTCACAGACACACTCTTTTTTACACGACCGCATACATTCACAGACACTTCCTCACAAACACGCCGACCCGTCCGATATTTACAGAGGCACCCACGATTTCTCAACCTCCTGTTCCCTTCACACGCACACCCCAGGATGCACACGCACCAGCCCACAGGTCCTTGCTTTGATGTTTCTTCCCCCCAACCCCAACCCTCGCCCAGAGTTGTGGCCTTCAGCACTGAGTGGTGCCCACACCCATGCCAAGCTGGCTGGGAGGGTCACGGACTGGCAGGCGGGCCACCACCCAGTCAGGGGCTCTCCCGGAGAAGTTCAGGGAGATGCCCCAGCCCCCAGGATTGGAGTGAAAGAGGGGTTATTCCCCACCCCAGCTTCCAGCTCTGGGTGGCCAGGCTGGATGGGTCCTTTCTGGGTGGGATGTTATCCCTGGGAGGCAGCTTTCCGATCAGGACAGGGCTGATGATCTGAGAGGCCCGAGTCCCCGCAGCCCTTGCCCTGTGGCCCTCCGCCAGCCTCCCTCCTACAGCCCCTCACCTCTCCAGGCCCAGGCCCGCTTGCTGATGCTGTTTGGCTGCTCTGGCAGGGGAAGCCCTCTCTCTGCCCAGCCGGCTGGGGGAGATCCCACCCAGACAAAGAGTTTGATTCATCAAACCCTGTGGTGAGGCAAGCAGGGAGAGAGGGAGGGAGCAGGCAGCGGGCTGGGCGGGGGCCTACCCTAGCGTGGCCTCGCTGTGGGCAGGCCAGGCAGCCAGGACCCCCCAGAGGCCCCCTCAGGCCAAAGGGGCAGTGCCCAGCCTGGTAGGACCAAGAAAGCCAGGAGATGAAGACTGAGAGAGACCTAGAGAAACAGAGACCAGTTAGCAACCCAGAAACCAAGACCCCAAAACACTCAAAAACAGAAAAACCACAGATGCTGAGACATTCAGGGACTCCGAGATGGAGACAGAGACACTGACAATTTCAGACCAGCCAGATCCTCGGAGACACAGATGAAGCCCAGAAAAACCCAGGGAGACAGATGGACAAACATGTCATGCCCATGGGCTGCCAGTCTAGTAGCAGAGCCAAAAACGAAAACAGTTACAATCCAGGTTGGCAAGAGCCAAGCCAGAGGAGCCATCGGAGGAGGGTGCTGGGCTCAATTCAACCTGGGTATTCCAGGAAGACTTCCTGGAGGAGGTCATAGATAACTGCTCCATGGCTGAAATACCTAGTGCACTTACAGAGAAAGCCTTGGCCTGAACAGTGATAGTGTCAGTCACTGCTGGAGGCAGGAAGGGAGAAGAGGACCCAGTGAGAGATGGCTCGGTCTGTCGCAGGCCCCAGTCTCTCTGCACAGTTTCTCAACTGCTTCTCCCTGCCCCCTTCACCCCCACCACCTGGGAGGGTGGGAAGAAGGGGACAGGTGCTCCAAAGGGGCCCTCTCTACAGTGGCCACTCTGGCTTGTACCGTCAGCCTCTGTCCCTCTAATCTGAAGAGTGCCCATTTGAGCAAGTCTCCCTAAGCCTCAGTTTCCTCATCTGGCAAATAGGGCAGTATTTTTATCAGTCTTTCTCTAGACAGAAGGCGGCTCGGTCCTTTACACCGATGGGGAAGAGGAAGGAGCAAGGCTGAGACAGACATTACATTGCAGGAGTGTGTGGAAGGAGGCCCCTGCCCACAGACAGGTCTCTTTCTCTGCAGGAATCAGGAGTCCTTGACACACAAGTCCTGCTTGCTTCTGGGGGCACACATATGCAGCATGTACCCATGCCCCCTACCCCCTTGTATTTTGGGAGGGAGATTCCTGCATTTGGGTTCTGGAAGTCCCTGGAGGGCAGGGAGGGACCCTTCTTCCCATCACTTGCAGGGGTAAGTAAGCAAAACCTTGAGGCTTTGCAGCAGGAGCACCCCCAGTTAAGGCCTCAGAGGAGAAGGCTAGGTGATTGTGGGGAGAGGGGACGTAGAAGGCTTCCGAGGGAGGTGAAGCTGGAGGCAGGTCCCAGCAGGGAGGTCAGGAGTGTGTCGGCCTCCACCTATGCTCAGGCCAAGGAGAATGAGAATGATCCATCTAGCTGCGATGCCAGCCCTGTGGCCCTCCAGGGATCTGGCACACCCAACCTCAATGCTGGAGAGCTAAGAGGGATAAGCTGGGTTCATATTATGTGTAGTTCATCTCTGTTAGAAAAAGCAAACAAAAACCTCGGAAAGAGAACTGGCCCCAGACAGCGGGGACATGACCTTCCCAAGGCATGATCTCTGGATAGAGACTCTAGGGTCTACTAGGCAAGGGCCATTGTGGAGCCCGAAGAGAATAACCCCCACCCAAGCTCCTAGGCCCAGTGTTGACACTGACCAGCTGTGTGGCCTCAGGCAAGTCATAGCCCATCCCTTGGCCTCAGTATTCCCATCTGTAAAGTGGCTCTTAAGGGACCCCACCACCACCTGATGCCCTCTCCAAGAAATGTGTCTCATCATAAATGTCTCTGGGCCAAGAAGGATGGGCAGGGACCGAGGAACATACCCTTGGTGGGCGCTACTAATTACAGGGGACGATGGGCTCACTTAGCAAGGCTACCAGAGAGAGTCCCTGAATACCACCATGGTCACAGAAAGCATTTCTGGCCTCCTGTGCCTAGGTTTTCCCTGCCCCCTCCCAGGTGCCTCTTGCCCTGCTGCCCAGAAGAGTGGGGACCCTCCCAGGGCCTCTCTGCCCTTGAAGGAATAAAGCCAAGGGGGAGGTCATGGCTGGAAAGGGGATCCAGGCAAGGTTTACAGAGCACCAGAAGGCCATAGTGGGTCAGGGCCAGGATCAGAGACCAGGCAGGCAGCACAAAGAGATCACTCAGAGGGGAAAACTGGCGGGAAGAGAATGGGATGGCTGGCACCCAGGTGGGGCCCTACCTCAGCCAGGGAGCTCCGTCCAGCTGCCAGCACAGTCCAGGGCTCCAGGGCACCCTGGGGACTCTGGGGTGGCAGCCAAGTCCTCAGGGGGCAATGTCAGCATGTCAGCATGGCCCCAGAGCCCAGCAAGGCAAGCTCCTGGGTATTGTGTGGGGCAGGGAGGGGGAGGTGAAGGAGGAGGGAACCTTGCGGAGAGGCAGCGGCTGTCTCAACGTGCCTGCTCCCCACCCCCCTTCCCCAGAACCGGTTTGGCTAGTCTGGGGTACGAGAGAGGGGCTGGAACAATGGAAGTCCTATGCCCAGGTGAGGCTCTAAAGGACCCTAGACCCAGGTCCTAAAGATGGGGGAGGCACTGCCTCTGCTCCTAGGAGACAGGTCACCACTCTTCCAGAGCTTCCCAAACATAAGCATGCTCAGGGGACTTCCTGGAGCTGGGGGGCATCCCGGGAGCTTCACAGAGAGCCTCCCAAGCACTGGACTCCTCAGGGACCCTAAGAACCCCGATGACCCTCTCTGATCCTATTACTGCATCTATCAAATGGGAACATTCATCGCTATGGTAAGGAGACAGAAATTAATCCTGAAAGTTGGTGATGTGACATCTGGCATCCTGGATGGCCTCTCTCATCTAGCACAGCCACTCCTTGCAAATGATCCATCCTTTCCCATTGCCCGGAATGAACTGCCTCACTATCTCCAGTGGCCACCTCCACCATGAAGCCTTCCCAGACTACACCGATTGAGCCCTCAATAAATAAAGTCAAACAGCCAAGTCAAACCACTTGGAATAAGAATGGCCTGCTCTATGCCTGGCATGAAATCTTCTGAAGACTGTGGAAGGGGAAGCTGCACTTCCCCTAATACTACCTGCGATCGGTTTGAGCTCCCAGTATTGCCAGGCACTTACTATTAATATGCAGATGTGTAAACATACTCATAGAGCTAACTTTGGTCACCTACTGTGAGCCAGGCACTGTCCTGATCCCTTCACATGTATTTATTCATTTAATTTCTACCATTACCCTGTCAAGTAGATATTTATCAGATGAGTTCAGTTGTCCTTTGGTACCCCACGATCTGTGGGGAATTGGTTCTAGAAGCCCCCATGCCAAAATCCATGGCTGCTCAAGTTCCTTATATAAAGTGTCATGGTGTTTGCTATAACCCATGTACAGCCTCCAGTAAATTTTATTTTATTTATTTATTTTTGAGATGGAGTCTCGCTCTGCCACCCAGAGTGAGTGGTGCTCACCATAACCTTTGCCTCCCAGGTTCAAGCAGTTCTTCTGTCTCAGCCTCCCCAGTAGCTGGGATTACGGGTGCATGCCACCAAACCCTACTAATTTTTGGATTTTTAGTAGAGACAGGGTTTCACCATGTTGACCAGGCTGGTCTCAAACTCCTGACCTTTAGTGATCCACCCACCCCAACCTCCCAAAGTGCTGGGATTACAGTTGTGAGCCACCTCGCCCAGCCTATTTTATTTATTGTCAAAAAATAAAATAAAATGTACTCAAGTGACAGTATCTCACTCTGTCATCCAGGCTGGAGTGCAGCGGTACAATCACAGGGCTCACTTGCATTCTCGACCTCCTGGGCTCAGGCGATTCTCCCACCTCAGCCTCAAGAGGGGACCACTGGCATATACCACCACACCTGACTTTTGTATTTTTTGTAGAGAAGGGATCTCACCAGGTTGCCCATCCTGGTCTCAGACGCCTGGGCTCAAGTGATTCACCTCCCGTGCCCTCCCAAAGTGCTGGGATTATAGACATGAGCCACCACGCCCAGCCCTCCAGTACAGTTTAAATCATTTCTAGATTACTAATAACACCTTAATATACCTTAATACAGTGTAAATTCTATGTAAATAGTTGTTATCCTGTAATGTTTTTTATTTGCATTTTTTTATTGTGTTATTTTTAATTTTCATTTTCTTTCTTTTTTTTTGTAGATTCAGTCTTACTCTGTCACCCAGACTGGGTGCAGGAGCACGATCTCAGCTCACTGCAACCTCCGCCTCCCAGGTTCAAGAGCTTCTCTTGCCTCAGCCTCCTGAGTAGCTGGGACTGCAGGTACCCGCCACCACACCAGGCTAATTTTTGTATTTTTTAGTAGAAATGGGATTTTACCATGTTCGTCAGTCTAGTTTTGAACCCCTGACCTTGTGATCTACCTGCCTTAGCCTCCCAAAGTGCTGGGATTACAGGCATGAGCTACTGCGCCCGGCTTATTCTTATTTTCTATGCATGGTTGGTTGAACCAAAGGATGCAGAGCCCGAGGTTATGGGGGCCACCTGTTTAAGAGGTTTGTACAAAAGTTAAGTCACGAGCATTATCCCTTTGAAATCTCTCATCAGTTCTATGAAGTCCCTATTTTACAGATGATATAGAGGTTCTAGGGATTAAATAACTTGCCCAGGGCCACACAGCTAATAAGGGGCAGGACTAGTATTGAAATCCAGGTCTGGCTGGACATGGTGGCTCACTCCTGTAATCGCAGCACTATGGGAGGCCGAAGTGGGTGGATCACCTGAGGTCAGGAGTCTGAGACCAGCCTGGCCAACATCGTGAAACCTGTCTCTACTAAAAATACAAAAATAGGCCGGGCACAGTGGCTCACACCTGTAATCCCAGCACTTTGGCAGGCTGAGGCCATCAGATCACGAGTTTGAGGTCAGTTTGAGACCAGCCTGGCCAACATGGTGAAACCATTTTTAGTCTCCATTAAAAATACAAAAATTAGCTGGGTGTGGTTGTGTGCACCTGTAATCCCAGCTACTCAAAGGCTGAGGCAGGAGAATTGCTTGAACCCTGGAGGTAGAGGTTGCAGTGAGCCA